CTGCCGATTCCATGTGAACGCATGGGTGGGGCTTTAGCCAACGAGCTTTTCAGGACCCCGAGGCCTGCTGGACGGAGACACTTTCTGCTTTTGGTCAGGGGAAGCAGAGGTCAGCGTTGTTGGCCATGGTTTGGCAGCTAGGGAGCAGGACACATGACGGGGGGATGATCTGTCCAAAGGGACACAGTGACAGTGTGAAGCACAACTGTCCCCACTGTCTGTTTTCTTGAGGAAGTTGGAGCCTCAGAACAGAAGCTACTGTAAAGCCCTTGGATTAAGCACCATCACTGTAAGGGGGTGGGCAGCTGTACTGTAGGCCAGAGGGCCACTTCCTCAGGGTCTGGAAACCCGTTTGTATTTACTTCCTTTGTTCCCTCACCCCACAGGGTTGAAACTGAGCACTCCTGTGTGGCCAGCCATCCCTGGATCCAGCACAGTCTCTCCCAGGGCCTCCCAGTACCTTTGTCCAGAGTCAGGGTGTTGGCATTCGCCCCAGTGCCCTGGCGTGACTGTGTCATGACCCAATGCTACTTGAGTTCAATTCCTCCTTGTTAAGAGCCTTCTGTGTGCTAAGTCCCGGGCAGGGTCTGAGTGGTCATGTGAGGCCGCACTTGGCAGAGGCAGAGCAGACAGCCATGCGGCACTGACTCCAGTGACCATGGCCTTCAGTGACACTTGGCTACTGGTGGCCTGAACACAAGAGCACACAATCCCATACTGAGGAGAGACATCCCAGGTTTGTTGAAGCCCCAGCTGTCACTTATAGTTATCACACTTGGGGGAGTAAGTGGTTTAATTTGCTGATTGGATGTCTTAGTCACTTTCCTGTTACCATGACCCGTAACTTAACAGAGGAGATGTTTAGCTGGGCTCATGGTCTAGGAATCAGTCCATGTTTAGCGGCTTAATCACAGAAATTACAAGGTAGAAGGGCCTAGGCAGAGGAAAGCTGCTCACATCATGGCAGCCAGGAAGCAGAGAGAAAAGGGAAGTGGGGGGATAAACCCTTCCGGGTCACACCCCCAGGAACTGCCCCCCTTACCTAACACAAGCCAGGCCCCACCTCCTAACACAAGCCATCTATCTCCCTGCCATGGGCTAATCTTCTTTCAAAAGCCCCACCTGCGAGCAACTGCGGCCCTAGGGGGATATCTGGATATAAACCACAGCACTGGATCTCCTCACCTGTAAATTGAAGGTCACCCTCTCTAGCTCATGGTGGGGTATAAGATGTGCAAATGGCCAGCACTTAGGGCCTACTCAATAATTCTGGTCATTGACGTGATTGGTTTGGTTCTGAGTGTCTCTGGGTGATCCTGTTTCACCAGACTGGGATCTGGTGCTCCCTTCACCACTCCTGCTTGGCCTTGTAGCTGTCAGGGAGGGCCGCAGGTGAGAATCGCTCAAAGCACACATGCTGATCCCACAGGGAAATTGGGAAGCTTCCAGAACACAGGGCAGGGGCTCCACAAGCAGCATGGTGTAGGGTGGTAGTTGGACATCCCTGGTTTTCTTTGTGGATTTCTGGAAATCTGAAGGGGAGAGCCGATGAGATGGAGACAGTGTCTTCTGCCTCAGTCTTCCCCACCAGAGGATGTCCGTGTGCTGGGCTCGAGGCTGGGAAAGTGGATCAGATCTTCGGCAACTCTGGGTTTCTCCGACGGCCCAGGCTAAGAGGAATTCCTTTTCGTTACCCCCTCAAATTTTTATTAGTGTGCTTTTGCAATACACAGTAAATACGCGGACCATGGGGGAATTGGTACACTTAAATATCCCATCTTGATCCTTTTTACCTCCTCTTTCCCTCTCGTCTGTGCCCTTCCTAATCTTTCAGAGAATCAACTTTGATTCATCAATCCTTCGTATTTTTTAAAATTTCAATTTCATTCATTTCCACCCTGATCTTCGTCATTTCTTTCTTTCCATTAGTTTCAGATTTGGATTGTTCTTATCTTTGTAGGACCTTGAGATGCATCATTAGGTTATTTATTTCCAGTCTCTACTCGTTTTATGTGTGCACTTACGGCTATGAAACCTTCCCTCGTAGAACTGCTTTCACTGTGTCCCGTAGGTGTGTTGTGCTCCCATTGTCTTCTGGTTCCAGCAACATTTTTATTTCGTCCCTGATTTCTCCTGTGGCCCACTGACTATTCAGTAACGTAGCACTGAATCTCCACATGTCTGCCTAGTTTCTGTGGCCTCTTTTGCTGTTGATTTTTAGCTTCATTCTGCTGTGACTTGACAGTATGCAGGGGATTATTTCAATTCTTTTGTGTTTATTTAAGCCTGTTTCACGGCCTAGAGGAATTCCTTTTGGGAAAAATGTTTACAGGGGAAGGAGAACCGACATGGTTCCTGGAAAGGCTGTCTGCTCCCTCTGCTGTGTCTTGCTGCCGCCCACTGCGCTAGCAGCTGCTGTTCAGCTGCCAGCACAGCTGACCGTGACCTTGACACTGACAGACAAACCTCCGCTTCCTCCCCCGCAGCCCATTCCCTGGGGGCTGTTTGAACTGAAAGGCACAGCTCTGTGTCATTTGTGCCCACTTGTTTGGGGTAAAACATGTATCCCAGATGCACGGGTGTGTGTCGCCCTGGCGCTGTGCATGATACTGACAGGCATGTTGTATTTTCAAGGCTGTATGAATCCTGAGTGTCTTCCTTTACAAGCTGTATTGTGTCCTGCTATGGTTTATATCTAGATGTCGTCCTGCAGCCTGGTGTGATCACAGACAGAGCTCTTGGGGGGTGATTGGATCCTGGAGGCGTGGAGTGTAAGAGCTGTTGGGTGGTGGGGTGTGGTCTGAAGAGGTGAGTTGCTGGGGACGTGGCCTGGAAGGGTTCACCTCCTCCCTGCTTCTCCCTCTGCTCTCTCCCTGCTTCCCATCACCATGCCATGAGCAGCTTCTCCTCCACCAGGCCCCTCTGCCATGCTGTCCCTGCCTTGGAGCCAGATGACTATGGACTGAAACCTCTACAAACTGTGAGCCAAAATAAACCTCTTCTCCCTGAAGCTGTGGGTGTTGAGTGCTTTGTCTCAGTGACTAGGAAAGTGACGAAGACATGTCCCATCCAAATTCTTGTGTCACAGCCCTAGGCCCCAGATTTTAGAATGTGCCTTTAAAGAGGTGATTAAGTTAAATCAGGCTGGTACGGTAGGTCCTATTACAATGTCGCTGATGTCCTTACAAGAGGAAGAAACGTGGATACACAGAGAGACTCCAAGGGCACATGCCCATGTGTCCTGATATGGGAGGACACAAGGAAGAGAAGGCAGTCCATCTGCGGGCCTGAGAAGACACTAAGCCTGCTGACATTTTGATCTCACACTCCCAGCCTTGTCATGACTTAGATCAAAAGTCTCATTATGTGGAAGGTGATTGGATTACGGGGGTGCTGCACTCATCCGTGGATTCATTCATTGATGAGTTCGTAGCTTCCTGTGTTGTCAAGAGGGGAGGCCTGGCTGCACCTGGGTGCCTGGGCATGTGACCTGGAAGGTGTTTTCTTGTCCCCAGCTCCTCCGCTGTCTGTCTACTTCCTGGCCACCATGAGATGAGCGGCTGTCCTCCACTCACATCCTTCCACCGTGACATTCCTGCCTCAGAGCCAGCTGACCAGGGACTGACACCGTGAGCCAAAATAAACTTCTCCTCCCTTAAACTGTGGGCGTCCCAGCCATGGGAAAGTGACTAACAGATATCTCCAGAACTGCGAGACAATAAACTCCTGTAGTTTAAGCCAGCCAGTGTGTGATGCTTTCTTACAGCAGCCTTAGCAAACTAACACACTTTCCATCTGGCTACTGTAGAGTTTTTGCGTTTTTTTGTTTTTTGAAAGTTGTGAGTCTGTTTTCCGTGAGTTTGGGGGAATCTATGCAAAGGGTGCTTGTTTTCTCAATGAGCAGGGTTTATTAGATACCACCTCGTGGAGTTCTTGGAAAATTTAGAGAAGGATAAACGAAAGCCCATGCCCACCAAGCCCGGCACATCTGCACCACACACCCTGAACCGTAGAGATAATGGCAGAAGATGGATCTAGCTGTACAGATGCAAAAGGTCATGAGTTTACAAGCTTTGTCCTTCTAAGCAGGGCCAGGAAAAATGATAGCAAGTTATTCATCTTAAAAATTGATGTATAAGCATCATTAGGGAACTTGATATTTGTCTCACTGAAAAGATCTTTTTTTATTTAATAAGAAATATGTTTCTACCAGTTGTAATTCTAATTAACCTAATACAGTATGTTCTAGGCTTCACTTTTTCCTTTTTCAATTTTTGCTAAGTAATTTGATAAACATTGATTGCATCTATAGTTCTTCCTGGGGCTAGAGGTTCCTAGAACTTCTGATAATAATAACTTTCTTTCGAATAGTATTTTCCAAAAAGACTCCTAAGCACCCTGAGAGACAGTACACATGTTCTTCCTAATAACTAGCATTGGTACAATATTCTATCTTTCCCAAAGTGTATTCATACACACCACTGCCTTTCATTGCCAAAGAAAAGTAAATGAATAGAAGTTATCTGGTCAGAGATATGCAGCAAATTTTAATGAGAGGCTGGAATTAGAACCCAAGCCAGAGCTTTTTACATAACACCAATTTTGGGGGCTGGGGATTTAGCTCAGCGGCACAGTGCCTGCCTGGCAAGTGCAAGGTCATGAGTTCGATTTCCAGTACTGTAGAAAAACCAAAGAAAAGAGAGAAAAACACCAATTTTTCTTCATGAACAGGCTGAGAGTTTGTGTCATGGCATTTTAGTTATTCTCATTACCAAGGGATAGGAGGTACTGAGTGAGCAATGGAATCTTTTAAAAATATTTTCTAAAATATAATAACTAATTAATAATCTACCTCCCTCTACCCTAACTAATCTAATAATCTACCTCAATCTCTACCCTTCCCAGTAGAGATTACAGGAAATGCTGAGCTACATCCTCAACTCTTTCTTAAATATATATTTTTGAGGCAGTTAAGTTTTGTTAAATTGCCCAGGCTGGCCTCAGACTTGCGATCGGCCGGCCTCAACCTCTGAATAGTAGCTTGGATTACAGCTGTTTGCGGCCCTGCCTAACAGAAGTGCAGTTTTTAATACTTCCTGGGGGTTGGTAGAAAGCAAATTCATGATCTTGAAATACTAGTGGGTGATGACTGCAGACTTCTCTATAGATTCTTGTATCACTATTTTCATTTAGGAGAAAAAGAACAGTATGAACATATTCAATTCCTAAATCCCTATAATAGCCTACAGACCCTTTACTATTCAGTGTTACTAAATAGAGATTTCAAAACAGCATGTGAAGAAATTATCAACGTGCTTCATTTTAAACTGATAAGAACAGATTCTACACTTGATCTTAGCCAAAAGGCCGAGAAGCGATTTTGTGCTTCATTTTAAATGGTATTTCTTGCTTTATTTTGATTTTTCACACCAATAAGATGTGGTGCTCTTCCTAAAAGACACAGTTTGGGTTTGGGAATATGTTCATCCAGGGAGTCCAGTAATAAGTCTCAAGAGAACCCACCTGCAGGGCCAGGAAGCGGGTGAATCTCTGTCTCTACAGATTTTGCTGCTGCTTCTATGATCTTAAAAAATGAAGGTTCCCAGGGCATGGTGTCACAAGCCTGTAACCCTAGCACGTGTGAAGTAGGAGGATCACAAGTTCAAGCCCAGCCTGGGCGATTTAGTGAGACTCATCTTAAAATAAAAAATGTAAAAAGGGCTGAGGATGTAACTTAGCCCAAAAGTCCTGGGTTCAATCCACCATATCAAAGAGAAGAGGGAGGGGAAGCTTCCTTTTAAAAGGAGTTTCCACTGTTTGCAGCTAAGAGGCTTTTCTGTGTTTTGATCTACAAATGTATTCTTCACTGGTTAGAGGAACATTAATCTTTGTGATACTATTTCTTCGTGTTTTTTATAAAGACAAATTTCTTGAGTGAACAAAAAGCCACGTCTAATCAAAGCTGAGTTATGAGCTTTCTGCCTGGCTACAGGGCCCAGGTCAATATAGGCAGAAGGCTGGCAACGCCTTCAACATCTGGGCTGGCAGGTAAATTATGTGGATGTGTGCAGAAGCTACACGGGCTGACCACGCCCGTCCCAGAGCTTCCCGTGCTGGTCAGTGCACCTGCGTGGATGTTTTTCTTTTAATTCCCAGATACAGGGCCTTCACACTGAACTATATCCTCAGCCAGTTTTTAGTTTTTGACTTTGAGACAGGATGTTGCTAAGTTGTTACGTTGCCCAGACCGAACTCAAACTTGCAGTCCCTCTGTCTCAGCCTCCCTGGGATTATGGGCATGTGACAACGCAGCCAGTTCTGAGTGTATCTTAACAAGTGGTAGGACTATTGTCAGCAACTGTCCAAGACAACCTGGCACTGAATTGCTTCCCATGGTATTCCTAGAAACTCTTCACATATGCCATACAAAACTTTAAAAAAATTGTCATTTTGTGTGTGTCAAACTACACAGCCAAATATATCCAAACTTTTTATAAAAAATAATTTGTTGGAAAATATAATTAGTAACAGAGCAGTCAGGAAACTGATTTAGTCTTTTCCTCCTTACCCCTAGCCGAGGGGCTTAGCTGTCCAGAGGAAAGCCCAGGGCTGAAGGAAGGTGAGAAGAACCATCCCACATTGGCAGCCTGGGTCCTGACCCACCCAAGAGTCTGACAGCTCTAGTACAGTGGCCTCTGTCATCTGGAGGGGACCGTCAGCCCGCACCCTCCGGCTGGCCCTTGTCCCTTGTATGAGAAGTGGCAGGGAAAGTATTGCGTGCTGCCTGATCCAACTGTGTGTCTGAGGTTGGCCATGTCTCCCTGGTTCTGGGGTGACCTCTGCTCTTACCCCCACTCTAATATCACCCTGGCAGGGCTTGGCAGGCTGGCTCTGTTCCCGTTTCTTCCTCCTGAGCAACCTCAGTTTTCCGGGTCCCCACCATCACCGTATCCTTTGTCATAGCCTCACACCCAGATGCAGGAGGGAGCAAAAAAATGGCTGAAAACTGGCCCTCTTCAGATGTCACCTTCTGTGCAGCCTTCACTCATACCCCTCCTGCATCTGCAGCCCCAGAGCACTTCCTCAGCAGCTCCTTTCTCCTGGGTGAGAGGGTGCACAGCGGAGCAGCTGGCTTTGGGTGCTGGTCAGGATGGAGTGCCTCACATTCATCCACATGCTGTTTCTCCCCCAGATTCCGGCCTTATTCCCACCCAGCATTCTGTTCCTGGGGATTGGGGGCAAAAGCGCTGGCTCCCAGGGTGCCCACAGACCAGGCTCAGCCACACGTTCCAAAATTCCTGTCAGGGAGACCAGCAGTGGTAACCCAGAGGTTCAAGGGTTGTCCTTTAAGGGGCTGACAGAAACTTTGAGTTTCTGTAGAAAAGGGGAATAAAGGCAAGAGTAGGGGGTTTGCCCAGCTGAAGGGTTTGCATAGGTGGCAAGGTAGGGATTTTTTTTTTTTTTTTGGTACTGGGAATTAAACTCAGGACCTTGTGCTTACTAGGCAGGTGCTTGTGCCACTGAGCTATATCCCCAGCCCGAGGTAGGGAATTTTTTGAAGCTGTGATCTTGTAATTAACCAGCATGGCAAAATTGAACTTTAAAAGTTAGATTTTTTTTTTTCTTTTAGAGATTAGGAGCTTCTCCAGACTTCCTCCTGCTGAGCGTATAACCATCACCCTCTCCTCTCCTTAGCCCAGATGAAGGGGCAGAAAATGCAGATGCAGCTGGGCATGGTGATGCTGGCCTGTAATTTCAGCACTGTGGGAGGCTGAGGCAGGAGTATTGCTGTGAGTTGAAGGCCAGCCTGGACTACATGGGTTGAAGGCTAGCTGAACTACATAATAAGAACCCGTCAGGAAGAAAGAGAATGAGAAAGAGAGAAAAAGGAAGGAAGGAAGGAAGGAAGGAAGGAAGGAAGGAAGGAAGGAAGGAAGGAAGGAAGGAAAAGAAAGAAAAAGAGAAAAAGAGAGACAAGCAGATAATGCAGATGTGGCCCTAGGAGGTCAGCCCAGTCTGCTTTGCACAGGAAAGCAAGAGATGGAGCTGCAGGTGGTTGGGAGCAATAAAATAAACCCAAGAGTGGTGTGCATTGTCTCCTGGTACCCCCCGCCACACCCCCTTCCGCCTGTCCACAGGGAGACGGTGATTTGCGGGGATGATGCTCTAGCTAGCGCTGCACAGTCCTTTCTCCTTATGCTTTGTCACCACCTCAGGACTGGGTCTGCTTCTGCGGGGTGGCTCTGGAGAAGTCCTTGTAGTTTGGGGGCAAGGCGACAATAAGTTCCCATGAGATGCCCACTCCCACTTAGGAGGCAACCTCAGGTCCTGCATCGGGTGACTGCTTCTGCTCAGGGGCGCAGCCTCACCTGGGGCCATCAGTTCAAGGCTCTGCCTTTCCTGGAATCAGTGCTGATGCAGTTTCAGACAATGACTGGTGATCTCTTGGCTCTGCTCCAGGGGGGTCTTGAACAGGATGCTATAAAAGCCAGCAAGTGTTATAAAACCCTGCAACTCATGACAGTGCCTTAGTTACTCCGATCTTGGTGTCCTCAGCTTAAAGGGGGACGAGATAGGGTAGGCAAAGGTGGGGCTGAAAAATCTCATATGACCAGTTTTTAGGCTGACTCTCCTGAAGTGATTAACATGCCTCCATGCAGAGTGAAGTGAGGATCTGATCCAGTTTCCAGGTAATAAAGGAGAGAGATACAAAATGACAGCAGAGATGCCCAAATTTTAGCTCCTCCCTGGGCATATGCAGGCCCCCCACCTCTGAGTCCCTGTCATACTTCCAGGCCCTCTTCAGATGTCACCTCCTGGGCAGCCTTCCCTGGTACCTCACTCCTCCTGCATCTGCAGCCCCCGCACTTTCTCAGGTCGGTGCCATCTTCCTGCTACTCCTCAGCTTCATCTTTACCTTGTTTTCCTTCATCCCTTTGTTGTTTCCTTGGGTAAGTTCAGTGGTTCTGATCACCATCCTACCTCCTGCCCTCCCCTTTCACCCCTGTGTTGGTCCCCAAACCCTGGAGTAAACAACAAAAAGCAAAGTGGCCTTCAGAACATAGCCTGACCATCACATTCCCACCTGGGTCCCTGAGGGACGGTCCACAGAACCATAGCAGCCAAAACCTGGCTGGTCGGAGCCCTGTGAGTGGCTCTTCCGTTCTATGAGTATATGGGGAATGTCACCACGAGTAGGATACTCTCTAGAAACATTTCAGCCCATAATTTTTAAGGAGGGTGGAAGAGAATTTAATGATCAGTTTCAGCTGCTAAACATTATTTATCCATTACATAGTTTCCATATCTGATTTTTCTGAATCTCTGAGGCTCGTAAAGCTGTTAGCTCAACAGTGATAACAGAGCACTGCCACTCCCAGGACCCAGTCCCCCACCCAGCTCTGACCCCTGAGTCCCTCCCTCTCCCCCCCCCACTCTCCAAGATCTCGGTAGCTTCTTTGTTCGGAGGGAGTTTTCTTAGACCTGCAGGCCAGCCGCTGGCTCCTTTTGCCCAGACAGACGGTAGGTTGGGCACCATTCTTCTTGGGCAATTCAGAGCGAAGAGGGATCTTTTTTGAGGCTTGAGAATATCAATATGCGGCTGCTTTGCTAAAGTGCCTCGCGTCTCTCACAGTCAGAGAAATCTGCTTGCCTTGAGCTAGCCTCCAGTTTCTTGTTAAGAGCTAATTTTAGAGCTAATTTGAGTTCCATTAGTAGATGGTTCTGTTGCAAATCTGACATTAACATTGGCGGCTTGATGAGTAACAAAGGGAGGCAAAGCCTTTTACCCTAACTTGCAGCAACGCAGGCACATATGGTGTCATTTTTCAAGGAACAGATTTTTGTCTTTCATGCCATTTCAGAGCTGTTTGCCTCTGAAATTACCAGCTCTAATTTAATGCAGAACATGCCTGGATGTCACTACAGAAATCTAGTTAAACTGAGAGCTGGCAAGTCTCACAAGTTTGCACAAACAGTGTTCATTTGCACGTATCATACCTCCTGAGCCCGTGCTCATGGGCTGGGAGCCTGCCACTGGCAAGCAGGGGGCTCTTTTTCTGGGGGTCTTGGTGCTATCCTGAATCTCAGCCTGAGGTTGATAGCAGGGTCTTCCTTCTTTTAACTAAGACCTGTGATTTCTTTTTCTTTTCTTTTTTTTTTGAAATAGAGTCTTGCTATGTAGTCCAGACTTATCTTGAGCTCACTATGAGTGTTGCTGAACTTCAGGCAATCTTCCTGCCTCAGCCTCTTGAGTGCTGGCGTCACCCGTGTGCACCACCATGTCCAGCTAGAGAACTGTGATTTTAGCAGTGGCTGTAGCAGGGAGGACAGGAGACTGCTGATCTGAACTCTGCCTCTTGATGGTTGTGGCTGAGCCTGTCCCTGGAGCTCCATTTGCTGCTCCTGTAAAAAGAAGGGATTCTGCACATCTCTCCTGTCTCACTAGCTCAAAATAGGAACTCAGTCTCATCAAATTTTTTACATTTTTCCGAGAACTTTCATGTTGGTTATGTTCTACCATCACGGTCATCACAACAACCTGTGAGGCAAGCATTCCAATCTTACGCTCAGGAAATTCTGACGCAGAGAGGCAAGTGGGAAAACTTGCCCAAGGTCACACAGCTGGTCAGAGGCAGAGCCAGACTAGAGCCCAGTTGGTCTCACTCCCAGTTCAAGGATTCCAGAAGTCGACAGACTGAACTGGAAAGAAAGCTTTGGACATCACATCTTGTCACCAGGGGCTATCTCGGAGAGCTGAGAGTTGTGCCCAGCCGGCACGCACTGTTCAGACTTTCCCAAAGCAAGAAGATCGCAGTGACTTATAGAAGTGTATTCTTGCTCCAGGGCAGGCAGTACCATGAAAGAGCACTCCAGGAAAGGCTGAGAGATAGTAGGAAAAGTACTATAACTGGTTCTAGTCTTGGTCTAGATTTAAGTCACAGTATGACCTTGAACTTGACTTGGCCTCTCTGAGCTTTCATTTGCAAAAGGGGCAGGTAGATAAGCCACTCTCCAAGTAACATAACTCTGGATGGGTCTGTGGCTCTACAGCAATAGGTTCAATGCCAAAACCAGGGGTAAGGCCTTTGTTAAGGGGGCAACTTCGATGCCTGAGATATTCAAACTCTAAAAACGCAGAATGTTCCAGGAAATGAAAAGTAGAGCTAATGTAAGCACCAACCCAAACAGGTTACTCCTGTAAGGGACCAGGCAGATGCTAAAAAATGGGTCAGAGCCTGAAATCCGAGCCAGGCAGGTTAATGTCGAGAGGCAGCAGTGTAGAGGACAATAGAGAGTGTTAGGGATTGCAGTGAACAGGGAAGCACTGCCTGACCGAAGGGCATTGTGACCCTTTAGCTCCCGGGAATTGTCAGGCAGGAATGTCAGCGCAGTGCCAGCAGTCTCCCAACTCTTCAAGAGAATTGGAAAACTGAATATTCATGTGGCATATCCTAATTTATAAGCATTAGAAATGAATCCAAAGACGTAAAACCCTTTCATGCCAAGCAAAACGTGTCTGTTAGCCATATGCTGCCCGAGAGCCCCGGTTTGCCAATCCTTTGCTGAGATCTTCTGGGGTAGTTCAGGTCTATCTCTGCCTTCACAGCTCCAGAGAGCCTGCTTCCTGGCCTTCCTTTGGAGTGCACTGTGGTAGTGACCTACAGAACCATTTCAGGTCAATAGTGTAGCACATCACACAAATCTTTTTCCTGTCCTCAGCTTCAGAGGCGGGACCCCAACAGGGGCCAGCTCGCACACCCAGTTCCCACTCTGCCTGCCTGAAAATAATCTTTTCCAGAGAGACAAACAACAGTGGGAGGGGAAGGGTGATTGGCCAGGGGTGGTAGAGTGAAACAGACAAGATTATTTTTCCCTGCTAGCATTTCTACTTTATTGGATCACATAACCATTTTTATTGTTAATTTAAGCACAAATTAATTGCTGTACAAATGAACAAAAGCTCAGATGAATGCACTTACCATTACTTGCATCTTAAATGGCGATTACTCAGCTTTGTGATCCAATAGAGCAAATATTAGTGGAGCCGTGGTGCGTGCCCAGCCTGGTTCTCTGCTAATGGGAAGAGTGGGTGTCCCCAGGGACCCCCCCTAACAACCCACACAAACCTGGGGGACCTGGGGGCAGGGCGGGGGAGAGCTCCTGGAGCCACGGCGTCTGCCTGTGTCCTCCCTCTAAGTGCAGTGGAATGAAGAAACTAGAAGATTCAATAACCGGCTCATGTGCTGTTTTTCTCGTAGTGGATGTCTTATCACACTCTTGCGATTCTGTACTTTTTTATTTTCAAAGGCGCTGTGCACCATCAGTCCTGAGAGGCACTGTCCAGAGACTCCAGTCTTCAGGTCTAGGCAGCATCCCAACACCCTGGCCAGCGCCTATCCCGTGCTTGCCAACTCCTGACCCACTGGAGACCTGAGCCCGCTGGGTTGGCACCGTCTAGCTGATTGACTGAGTCTCCCCCAAGTGGCCCTTAAGCATCTCGAAAGCCTCTCAGGGCCCGCTGCCTGCTCAGGGCCTGACACCTGGTAAAGGTGCAAGCAGCAAGGTTCAGAAACAGAACAGATCCGCAGGCCCCTTGCTTTGTCTGAGAGCCCTTTGCAAGTAATTTCCTCCTTCGTGTCACAGACTTCTGTAATTTCCTGTCTCATTTTGTCATCTTCCACGCAACAGTGAAAGTCAAAATACCCATCCAGAAATATTTCCTTAGTTTCCATTTGCCAAATCAATCCCATCTCTCTCCCTTTCAAATAAAATGTAGTTACTTTTTGATGAACTGAAAAGATACGGTGTGAATAATGGAATTGTACCCCATAAAAATTTTTTTGAGAAAGTCCCTCAGTGAGTAACAACCAATACCAGACTCTAGATTATATCTGACAAATATTTTTTCTTGCCCTTGAGATAGCTGCACTGGAACTTGTTTTGAAGTTTCTAAAATGAGATTTTAGATTCTCATCACAAAGAACTAAAGGTAAAGTATTCCATTACTAGTTTTCTGTAAACACTACAGCCATTGGAGGGCCTGCTTGGAATTCAGAGAATTTCTGACTCACTAGCAAGACACCTTATTCTGCATATTTTCCATTCCGATAGAAGAATCCTTAACTTATCAACAAAAGTGGTTTTAAGCATAAGTCAGAATAAACCCAGCGCAATGACTTTCTTCAGTGGTTGATTTCTTTATAAAGGTCAGCCATTCCGGTTTGTGTTCAGTGGAATTTTTTGTTCATAAGCTTAGCACAATGCTTTATATTTAGTGCTGAATTCATGAATGAGTGAATGGTTAGCTTCTGAAAAAAAAAGAAGTAACAACAAAAAAAATTCATTTGTTCTACAGAGTTCTTGCTTTGATGATATTA